GTTTCAACTCATGACCTAATTCTTAGTCTTTCTTTACGGTTCGTCACTGGCAGCAAATAAATGCAGTGAAATAAAATAAATCATAAAGGCAGAGAATAACAGGTAATATGGAACAATTTTAGTTCTTAGCTTTGAACCCAAGCTCCACAGTTGTTAGCATAAGGACTTCATGGTTCAATTCCATTAAGCTAATATAGATACTCTAAAATATTAGACCACAAGACTTTAATAACTGCCTTACCGCAGAATAAACTACTCAATTTTATGTTTTCCAGTTAAGTAGCCGCAAAATTAGGTAAACCCTTTCATGTAAATATGGTGCCTTTAGTCTATGCAGGACGCAGCGGGAGCTTTTTCATGAAGATCTCTTTAGGATTGGCTGATGGAACATTTGCGCGCAAAGAAATAGGCAGAATTTCAACATGTTCCTACTAATTGTTTCAGATGGAAGAGATTGGGTTAAAGCCTTCTTCAGTACACTTCAGTAGACCTTTCGCCTACTGTTCTCCATAAATTTCCGTAAATATTTGCAACTGGGTTGACCAAAATCCTGGCACAAATTTGATTCAAAACCTTTTACCCCTTGATAAACAGTGCTGCAAGAAATATCATTCCCCATACTGATTACAGTGGAGCCAAAACAAGACACTCCTACTAGATATTTATAGAACTGACAGTGTAACAATGGAAAGTTTTCTCAGCCAATGAACTCAAACTGAACTTCCCATTTAAATGGCAAAGTAGTTTAATAGTACATACCAAGAGGGGTATTTACTAGTATAACTAACTGCTTCTTTTAAGATAAGGATCATACAGAATCTAGAGGCATACCTGATGTAATGAATAATTCTGAGAAATATTAAAATGGCCTCTCCTGATCGGGCGACCCAAACAGTATGGTGCAGAAGGAGGGATTTTCAAAGCATCCTCTCCAAATAACATTTCCTTATACTTGCTTTCTTCGGAGTTGGGCTTGTTACCATCATCAGATGTGCTTTGTGAAGGATCTTCATCGACGTCACTGTTTACTGACCTTTCTGGCCAATTTGAGGGGTTGTCAATATTTTGATATTATAAAATGATCTGAAATATATGCTACTTTACTACAGTGCAGAACTGCTCTTTGAATCTACTGTTAATACTTAATAACCCAAAGAACTGAGCATAACTAAGACTCTGATTATAGGAGAAAGCAGTGAGAAAATAATCCACGATAGAACTCCAACTATTCCATTAAAAAATTAAAATAGTGTGATGCCCCATCGAACAATCTAAAGCAGCTAGACAAAACATGGTGATTGATGAGATCTCGTTCTGATGGATACATACCATATGTAAGAAGAGACGAGACAAAAAATATGTGGATCTCATACCAAAGCAAAAGCTAATCTAACATAAGAATTTCAGTCCTCTAAACTTCAGAGCTAGCTAGCTCCAGCACACAAAACAAAAAATAATCATCATTGTGTCATAATGTAACATTCAAGGTCTAGACTAAAGCACCAACACCACATAGGCACAGACAAACATAACAACTCACTTAGGCTTTTGTCCGTGATTAGCAAAAATAGGTTAATGTGGACTTACTAGACTCGTTCCTTTTTTGTATATATGCAATCCAAACGCATTAAAAATCTGATGTGGTACAAAATCAATCACAACCATGCACAGGAGTGACACAGGCCACCACTAACTGAGGACAGGTATTACACATAAGTCACACCCAAAAAAATTACAGTTTCCTTAAAAAAAAGTCTTCAAAACATAAGTACAATGTAACCTTTTATTCACAACAGAAGACTGCCAAGTGGAAAAAGGGGGAAATAAAAAGGTACTTCAGTAAAAGATCAGTAAGTACCAATTGATGTGGATGTTTTGATGCTTTTGTCCATCACATCTGTCCATGTGAGTATACTATCATCTTTGTTTTGCTGTGAAGAAAGACCATCAAGACGTCCCATCTGAAGTGGTCAATATGACCCCATTAGCAAACAGAGGCCATGATTTGACCTATCTAAACAAATGGAAATTGATGCAAAATCATATAATACATCTATATTGCACATGTCAAATTCCTGGATGGAGGACCAACGCAAGAGCTTAGGTTTACCACATAATGTAGTATGTTGAACTTACAAACTATAAGGACAACAAACTTCATAATAATTTAAACCCTGAATCCCAGGTAAACTCGGCTTGTAAACCTCAATGCCACAAGCTTATCAATCAAATAAGCTTAAGCTATAGGGCAAACAAGTCCCGAAGTTCCCTTCCTCCCAATTGCTGTATATCCCGTAGTGAACTGGATCATTATCAGAATATTATCATGATGCAGCGTACTGCAGGTCAAATAATTTCGGTCTGACAAAACATTTTTCACAATCTAAAAATATAACTAATTTAGTGAGATGTGGCACATGGCCACTGTTTTGTTGACAAATTGCTCTAAGTAGTTAGTTCTCCTTTAAATGCCCAAGTTTAGCACTGTGCAACCAGATAAGACGGACCAAACAACTCCTCACGAAGCATAAGAATAACTATTGATAAGTAATCAATGTGTAAGAAAAGATAGATAAATTGCCCATGCTCTAAACTAGTTGGACATTGCTATTCAAATTCAAGGAGACAAAACCTACATCTGGGGTGATACTTTTCCCAATTAATCTGGAAAAAGCTTAACCAGGGTGGCAAAAGTAATATATCCTACCATCACAAAAACAGGTATGCAAAGTATTCATCACATAGACTGTACACAGTACCTTAGGAGGTAATGGTTGGTTCTCTGAAGGTGACACTTCACCCAAGAATGGGATTTTGAGCATTGAAGCGATCTGCAAGAGTCAGGCCTGATTAGTTCGAGCCGCTTCACATGATCCAAAGGAACTGCGAGAAGTAGATTTTTACAATATCATACGCCCTCTCCCGCTCTGCGTTGTGCGTCGACCCAGCACGACAGTTGAGCCTCTGCAAACCAAAACGACAGTCATACACTGGAGATTACATCAATGACAATCCAATGCAGGTACAGTAAGGGAGAACCACCCCAGCATCTGCATCACCTGGTCTCGCACCGATAGCTTCGGCGCGCCGTTCTTGTGCCGGGCTATGCAGTGCGGTATATTGAACGGCACGTCCTGGCTAGCGAACCCCATGCGCACATTCATGGAGCCTGCAAAAAAGGAAGGGCCCTCGGTCAGGGACAACGACCATGTCCCAAGGCAGAAATTACAACCGTATAAGAAGAGACCAATCCTGCTTCACACATATTCATCGGTTGTAGAACCTCGACGGTCGCATCGCACAAAAGTCGACCTTCTGAATTCACACTATGTGTTTCGCTGGGCGCTTGAGCTTCGCGAAATTAGCTCGAACTACACTACATTACACCCGATTTGGATTCCAGCAGGCGTGAATCGACGGAGCAAACAAACAGGCCAAGGAAAATGCGCATCTGGAAGAGGGGCGAGGGGATTCCCTGCGGCGGGGCGGGGCGCACCTGGGTTGATGACGACGAGGTTGGAGCCGCGCTCGGCCAGGAGCTGCGACGGCACCACCGTCTTGAGGTAATCCTGCGAGCACAGGCGTGAGCGGCGACTCGCTAGGGTTTCTCGGGAGGGGTTTAGCTCGCGGCGCGAATCGTCGGGCCCGCCGGATTCGCGCGAGCCGGAGAGGGGGGGAAGGGGTGGCGGATCTCACCATCTGGTCGGCGGCGGCGGCTGGAGGCCCGAACGGCGGCCGCGGCGGGAGGGGGCGCCGGGGGGATCTTCGCGGCGGAGCGGGGATTGGGTGTGCTTCCCGGCCGCGGGTTAGGGGGTTCGTGTAGGTAACGCCGGCCGTCCGATCCACATCGAACGGATCACGTTATCGAACGTGGTTTTCCTTGGCTCTCCTGTTGCGTTGGGGTGGTGGACACTCGGTTCGAATCCAAATTCGACCCGATTTTCCCGGCTATTTGAATTTGTTTGGAACCATAGCACAATGTACTCCCTCCGTCCGGAAATACTTGTCCTAGGAATTTGTTTGTCTCGGCTATTTTAAGTCTAGATACATCCATTTGTACCCATTTCTATTATGATAGCCCGGCTTATCTAATCGACTATTGTGTATTTTACCGTTCGTTGAACCATTATCTCTAATTCAACATCCATTTCGATAAAATGAGTTTGAGCACAACATGTCCACAACTCCAAAACTAGGCTTCAGAATGAAAATCTGTTTTGTCATTGCCTTTTGGGGACCGGGATCTCAAACTAAACTAAGGGCTCCGTTGATTCAAGGGATTTTTCGTAGGAATTTTGGAGGATTAGAATTTTTCGGAACTTTTCCTATGTTGGTTGTTTGATTCATATGATCGAATCCCATAGGAATTTCTCCTAAGAATTTCTTTGTACTATTTCTCATAGGATTTCTAGCATCCACTCAAACCTTTCTAAAAGGATCCTTTGCTTTTCCTATGATACAATCAAACAAACCAAAATCCTGTAGGATTGAGATGTGCATGTCATTCACACAAAAAATTTGCCCAAACTCCAAACGCAAACCAAAATCCTATGGAATGGATCAACCCCGTACAAAAAACACTAAATTTGCCATGATGAATACACATCTATTTATCAAGTTTATTTACTATGACTAGTAAGAAATTATTAAAACACAAAACATCCCTTCATTTCCCCCCGCCCAAAAAAAAACATCTCTGCATTTAGGGATCAAAAAGGACACGATCGAAATCAAGGGCAGTCAAGAACGTATCCTTTGATCCTGAATGGAGACAAGCAGTTTTCTTCTGTAGCAAAACACAGGACTAGCGTACCAAGGCATAAAACGAACCGCGATAAAACCGGAAAACAGAACTGAGCAAGACGGCTTAAAACTCCTACATATCGAATCGAATTCTGCAGGTCCCCAGCTCACGGATCCTATGGGCAAAAAGCGGGACATGTACTGCTCCAAAAGTATGCGTAAAACACGACGAGTTTCCATATTGATAGCTTTCCCTCCTACCACGATCCCTTGGCTTGGTTGGCTGGCTTCAGGTTGTCTTGGCCTTTGCGGCCCTTCTCTTGGAGTGCCTCCTTGGGATGGAGTTCTTCATCCCCAGGAAGAAGAGCAGCGCGCCGAATAGGGCCAGGTTCTGAGCAGAGAGAGAGGAATCTGAGTTAGAACACCTGATGACGGCTACTGATGGAACTGTTCAAAGAAGGTGAAGCTTTTCGCTGGGCGAGATTTTGTGTAACAAACCTGTGAAAACATGGTGAAGAGCTTGGCAAATTGCTGGGACTCCATGTCGTAGTTGTAGAAGTCGTACACGACAGGGGTTATGAATGCCAGGTAAACAAGCTGCACAAGTGAGCCGCATCAGTGTTTCCATGTTCCAAAAAAGAAGTGAAGAAAAGTATCAGGGGAGAAAGAGCAACTGCAAAACTAACATAATAAATGCACAATCATTTTAACATGGGTTAAATATAATTGGTCCCGTATAGTAAGACAGAATATATTTGGTTTCTTTATATATAAGCATAAACAGATATGCCCAGTTATCATGGACTGATGTTCCAAAGAATTGTTGCATTGTCACATATAGATAACAATTCAAACAATAAATATAAACATAACTTTGGACTACAGCAAATCAGTTGCACAAACTCAACAGACATGAGCCTACAAAGTGGTTAAACTATAAGGATAACCTGACATCACATTTGGAATCTTTCAGGAAGGTGAGTGTTAAAGCATTCCACTGACAGATGCTACAAGATCAAACGTTGAAGCAGCAACAATGCCAGATTTGGCATTTTACAGCGAGTGAAATGGACACACTAAAACTTTTAAAACTACCTAAATGGCATGGCAACGGTACTTCCTTTCTATTAGTTTGAAAAGACATGGTGCTGCAAGTCTACATTTAATGGCAGCCAGAACAGCATGCATCTTGATATCCCCTTAACATAAGATAATTCTAGATACAGTCCATGCAGAAGAAGAGTACGCACCAGGACGAGCGCTCCGAACGAGCTGCTGATGATGAAAAGGAGACCACCAAAGGCTTTAAGAAACATGGTGAAGGCAATGACAGACTTGATCTGCAAACAAACAGAAGAAAAGCCATTAAAACTAGGAACTAGGTGAATGGATCCTCAAACAAAAAACAATGATGTGTAATGGGGCAAGCGAGCGGAAAATACACGTACATCGATGTGTGGCACCGCCATCCCAATGCCGGCGGACACCTGCTTGACAAACAGGTTGAACTTGGGCTTGAGAGACTTTGCTGCTGGTCCTCCATCGGTTCCAAACTCACTGAACCTGCGTGTACATTGGAAGAACGAACCAGAAATTTAGCGTCTAGGAAGCGATACTGGGCCTGTACAGCCAACTCGGAAGCATAACAGGACTATCATAAGAAGCAACACGGCACTTCCTGTACTACTACTACTACTACCAGATAAAAAATGAAATTCAAACAATGACAATTGACATGGCCCTTGATATGGAAACAACTCTGCAGGTATATACCAGTAAATATGAGTTTAGATGAGAACCAACGGCCCAACGCCCAACAAAGGCAGGCCAGCAGGGTGAAGCTATAGCTTGCTAGATTTGCGCCATTGGTGTCTGTACGGCCAGCTCAGAAGCATATATTAATAATGTATAAAACAGCTAACACAAGGAGCAACGCAGCAGCACTTGTTGTGCTAGTAGCATGGAGAATTTGGCATCCAAATGCACCGTAGCCCTTGGTATCGAACCGAAAACGCCAGCAGAGTGAAGCCAGCTAGCTAGTTATTGATGAGCCCGGATGCCGTGCACACGGGGAGACGCTTGACTCGGCAAGTATCTGGGCCAGATGGGGTCGTCACAGTCGCAGGAGCCGCGCGCCACTACCCACTATGCCAATCCACGAGATGAAATGGTCCGCGTGCCTGATCCGGAGCCCTCATCAGCAAGCAGGCAACATGCGCGCTCCCCGCGCGCCTCCGCCTCTACGATTTACCACGGCGGGTCGTCGACATCTACCCTACACCGCCCAGATCTACCGCGACGGGACGCACCGCGCGGCCGGATCTCGGCACGGCGCGAACAGACCCTGGATTCGATTCTCCCAAGCGCATGCGGCGACGGACAGGAGCTCCGCCGGAGGCCCGCGCGGGAGGCGGCAGGGGCGAGATCTGGCGGGGCGAGAGGGGGAGGGGGAGGGGAGAGGGGACGTACTCTTGGTAGGCGGAGAGGAGGAAGACGGAGGCGAAGAGCACCCTCCCGACGAAGGAGACGAACCCCATCGCTGCTCGCTGGCCCTGCCCTGACTCGCCGCCGCCGCCGCCGCTGCTGTGCCTCCGCCTCGAGCTCCCCGCCCGCGTCTGGTGTCTGGTCCTCGGTCGCGACGACGACTGGGCCGCCCGAGGAGAGGAGGGGAGGGGGAGAGGGGGGAGAGGACTGGGAGGGGATCGATCGGTCGACCGATCGGGATGGTTTTGTTTTGTCTTTGTCTTGTTTTGCGTCGACGGACGGATGGATGGGTGTGGGGTGCGACGGCGATGCGCACGCGGCACGTCGCGTTTGCCGACGCCTCGCTGCGGCTTCCCTTCCGGACGGGTTCCGCGAGGTCGCACCACACTAGTGGAGTACGAGTACTCTCTTTTTTTTTTGGAAAGAAAATGGATGGGGGACGGGGGATTTTTTCTCTCCCTCCCCGAAATACTAATGGGCGAACGTTCGCCGGGAGCCGCGGTTTTCCCTTCCCTGCGTGGCGAGCCCGTAACAAACGCGGGCTTTCGCCGGCGATTCTCCCCCCGGCGAACGCTTGCCGGATATTCGCGTCCCTTTTTCTTTTCTCTCGAGAAAAGGCCATCGGGTTCTTTACCCGAAAGCCAGCGCCCTTCTACCTCCCCTACGATAAAACAAGAAATTGTGTGTAGATATGTTGAGGAAGTCAGATGTTCTTCTACCTCCCATAACGAGGCGATGGCGCGGCTCCGTTGTCTCCCGTAGCCGACCTGACATTTTGTTTAATGCCATCGAGGTCACGAACGAGCTGGGGTCGGCGACTGAGAAGAGATCTTGATGTCGGATCAATGAAGGATCTGGATGGCAACTATCCCGATGCGTAGTGATGAGGATACAGACCTGGGGTAGGGTCATAGGCCTGACCTATACGTCTTACCCAAGGTCACTACCCTAGAAGATAAGAAGTCCAAGAGGCAGCAAGAGATCCCCAGTCGATGATGTCGAGTGCAATCCACTCGACAATCATGTCACTCGGGAGTTCTCCTACCTACTGTCATTCAACCATCCAGAGAATCATTCGACCTACCGAAGACCAGGAGTAACTCAGCATTACAATGGACAGGCGTTCACTCTGTAGTCTTTAAGGTCATTAACAACACTTAAGGCTGGCGTTACCAGTAACACCCCCACTTTATGTACATTAAGACCCTTGTAATGGAGGGCGATGGGGGTCCTGGCGTACTCTATATAAGCCACCCCCTCCTCTGGCACAAGGGTTCGCATCCCCTGTAACATCACACATATAATCCAATCGACCGCCTCCAGGCACCGAGACGTAGGGCTGTTACTTCCACCGAGAAGGGCCTGAACTCGTAAACTTCGTGTGTACACCTTCACCATAGCTGAGATTTTGCCTCTCCATACCTACCCCCTTTCTACTGTCAGTCTTAGAACCACAACAGTTGGCGCCCACCTTGGGGCAGGTGTCTTAGCGACTTGTTGGTGAAGTTGCAAGTTTTTTCGATCATCATCATCATGGTTTCCGGCGGCGGATTGGCTGAGGGCCACGAGATCCGTCTCGGCGCGCTCGTTTTCGTCGTCGACGACTCCGCGTGGCTTCAAGAAGCTCCCCTGGACATTGAGGCACTCCCCGTCCGAGGGGCGACGCACTTCCGCGCGTGCGTTCGCGGTGTCCTTCTCCGGCAGCCGTCGACTCAGTATCAGTCGGCTCCGATGGTGTCTTCCCTCCCCATTGTTCGCCGCTGCAAGCGATTCGGTCGATCGCGGCTTCAGCGGTGGGTGAAACACGTGGTGGCTCGGCGTTCGGCCACCCATCAAGTCGCGGCAATCGAGTCTGACGAAACTCTCCACGGCCTGTTCGATCTGTCGACTAGCTCCGCGGAGACCGCATCCGAGTGCGATAGCAGCGACCCTGCGGCCGAAGTCTTGATGGTCGATGGACCACGTGGTCCGTCTGGCTTCCGTCGTGAAGATGGCGAAGATGGTGGCGGCGATCCGTCGCGCGTCCATGAGGAATACCATCCTGAACCCCTTTCTTCGCAGCAGAGGGAAGGACTTCGTCACCACAACATGGATGCACTCCACACGCCCATCGTTGGAGAAACCCCCGAGGCTCGGGCCTTGGAAGAGGTGCGCCTGGCTAATTTGGCTGAGCGCACTCGACTGGAGAACCTTCAGCGCGCTCTCGACGAGCATGCTCGGGAGCGGGTCCCTGAGTCCAGTTGACGGCAGCTTTTCCCGCCTCCACCTAAGGTATACCGTACTCCGATTCAGAACCTCACAGATGCAGCCCGAATAGCATAGTCGATCCAACCTTCCCAGTCGGAGGCTGGCAGAGGGCTGATGCAGATCCGGGCCTTGCTCCGGGCAGCAGGAGAGCAGAACACAGCAGTGTCTCAGTCACAGAATAGGATTCACAGCAGATCCGTAGAAGCGGATACAGTTCAGTCGGCCCATAGCCCAAGGTCGCCCCTACGGCATGAGGGTCGTGGACAGTATGATCATCCGCTCGACCGCGACAATCATCGTCGAGTGCCCACGCCTCCTCCGAGGAGTGCGTCATATGTGCCTCGGCAGAACGGTGACAGACGCCGTCACAGTGGCGAGCGCAGAGCACCAGTCAACCCAAGAGAGCCAGGCTTCGATGCGAGATTCATCCTCGTTCAAGGCCTAGTTGACCGGAACAGAGCGCATAGAGAAGACCCCAGCAGAGATCGTCCAAATGGTAGCAGAGTGCATGTTTCTAGTCCAGAGTGTTTCAGCAGAGCCATCAGGGCGGCAGTGATTCCTCCCAACTTCAGGTTGGCGACTGGAGTTAGTAAGTTCACCAGAGAATCCAAGCCTGAAACTTGGCTTGAGGATTACCGAGTGGCTGTGCAGATTGGAGGTGGAAACGATGAAGTAGCAATGGAACATCTTCCTCTGATGTTGGAAGGGTCGGCCCGGGCGTGGTTGACTCAGTTAGCTCCAGGCAGTATATACCGTTGGGAAGAGCTGGCTTGAGTGTTCGTCAGAACTTTTGAGTGCACTTGCAAACGACCAACAGGATTGACCGAGTTGCAGCATTGTGTGCAAAAGCCGAGTGAGACTTTGAGAGATTTCATTCAGAGGTGGACCACTTTGCATCACAGCATTGAAAATATATCAGAGCATCAAGTTGTGTGTGCTTTCAAGGAAGGCGTCAAATACCGAGAGTTAGTCATGAAGTTCAGTCGGACTGGTGATATGACTCTAACTCGGATGATGGAAATAGCCACCCGGTACGCTAATGGAGAAGAAGAGGATCGACTCCGTAGCGGAAAGAGTAAGCCAGTTGGCCAAGAGACCGGTGGAGGTAATTCCAATCGGAAACAGAAGCGTAAGGACGAGCCGGCGGCACCCGGTGAGATTGCTGCAGGGCTCAAGGAAAGTTTAAGGGAAACCTAAAGGGCCCTGCCCCCCTAAGAAGGTAAAGGATCAAGCAGGGAATGATGTGTTGGATTTGCCATGTCACATCCACACGAAGAAGGATGAAGAGGGTAATCTGATCTACCCTAAGCATACCACTCGACAATGTCGACTCCTGATCCAGCAGTTCCAAGAAAAACAGCCCGGTGAGAAGGAGAAAGAGTCGGACAAAGATGAGGATGAAGAGGAAGACGATGGTTATCCCGAAGTCAATTCCACCCTCATGATTTTTGCTGATGTTGAGAACAAAAGTCGGTTGAAAGTTATCAATAGAGAAGTGAATATGGTCGCTCCGGTGACGACGACCACATACCTGAAATGGTCTCAGACAGCCATCACATTCGACCAGTCTAACCATCCTGCTCATGTAACCACCCCCGGGAGGCAAGCATTGGTGGTCGACCCCGTGGTTGGAGGCACTAGACTGACTAAAGTGCTGATGGACGGTGGTAGCGGTCTGAATATCCTTTATGCTGAAACCTTTAAGGGGATGGGCATTCCGATGTCCAAACTTAGCGAGAGCAATATGAGTTTCCATGGTGTTATCCCTGGAAAGAAAGCCGAATCACTCGGCCAGATCGCTCTTGACGTGGTTTTCGGTGACTCCAAGCATTACCGTAAGGAAAAGTTGACATTTGAAGTCGTGGATTTCCAGAGTGCTTATCATGCCATTCTGGGTAGGCCTGCCTACGCACGTTTTATGGCTCGACCATGTTACGTGTACCTCAAGTTGAAGATGCCTGGCCCCAAAGGTGTGATCACAATTACTGGCAATTGGCAGAAAGCAGAGGAATGCTTCCGGAAAGGTTCCAAAATTGCTGATGCGCAGATGGCAGCAGTTGAACTCCAAGAGTATCAGAAGAATGCAGATCCGAGTGATTTGCTCTGAGCCAAGAAGCCTGCCACAGATTCTGCATTTCAGTCGTCTGGTGAAACGAAGCCGATTCATATGCACCCGACCGATCCCAATGCCGCACCAACTCATATATCAACAACACTCGACAGCAAATAGGAAGAAGCGCTCATCTAGTTCCTCCGTGAGAATTGGGACATCTTTGCATGGAAACCCTCTGACATGCCGGGTGTACCCAGAGGACTGGCCGAGCACCGTTTGCGTGTTGGCCCCAAGGTAAAACCCGTCAAAGAGCATCTTCGGCGGTCCGCCGTGCAGAAGAGCAAAGCGATTGGCGAGGAAGTGGCTCGGCTGCTAGCAGCAGAGTTCATCCGTGAGATCTACCACTCCGAGTGGCTTGCCAATGTAGTCATGGTCCCTAAGAAGGACGATTCACTTCGTATGTGCATTGATTTCAAGCATATCAATCGGGCCTGCCCGAAAGATCACTTCCCTCTCCCTCGCATCAATCAGATTGTTGACTCGACTGTGGGGTGTGAGCGCTTGTCTTTTTTAGATGCATATTCCGGGTATCATCAGATCCGACTGCATGGTCCCGATGAAATAAAAACAGCCTTCATCACCCCATTCGGGTGCTTTTGCTATGTCACCATGCCATTTGGTCTTAAAAATGCTGGAGCCACATTCATGAGAATGATTCAGAAGTGCCTGCTCACTCAAATCAGTCGGAATGTG